GCACTTTGGCCTGCCAGAGTTCCGCAGGACTTTGGTGTGTTGTCTCTTGATGTTGCCTCGCCAACAACTAATGTGCATGATTGAACATGTCAGCCGTAGTGTAGAGGATAGTAGTAGGCCTCACAGTCAATAGAGTGAGGTACAAATCTCGCTTCGGTGTTCTCTTTTGCTGCTGTGGTTGGCATTCTTCGGGACTTCCGCAGGACCTCATTTCGAAACTTCCGCAGCAGTTTACGGAACTTACGCAGGTGACGCGGCGAAACTTCCGCACGCGCTCTGCGGAAGTTTCGCTCATTTGTCTGAGTCATTATAGGACGTCGGAAGTGAGTTTCAAAGCTCGAAATTGTGCTAACTCTAAGATGAGGTGGCGTGGCTGCAAATTGCCACAAATAGGATTCAGGCGCCTAAAATAACTTGCTTTAGTGCAAATAACTAGTGTCTCAAAATCCTCAAAAGGATGTTTTTGAAGAGCACTACAAAGGCATTTTGCATTCGAGAAGAGTTAGCTCAACTTTGCTGCTGCATGGGTTGATTGAGAAATATGTCAGACTTTATACTGTTTATCGTACACGGATCACCTATCGCGCTCTCATGATTTTTATTTAAATAGAATACGTATCTCAGTAATTCACCGAAAGTCTGTCCCGTGTAAGGCCAAGCATCATTGTATTACCTGTTACGCACTTGCTTGTGGCTGAATTTCGCCAAAATACGCGCTTTACAATTCGAATAAAGAAAGCCCGAATCTGTGAACTTTCAACATATCGAAAACCATAGATGACGGAATAGTTTGATAGCAATTCTACGGGTTTCAAATATCAGGTTGGTACGAATATTCACTATTCACCTTTCCTAGAAATGCACACCTACTTGCCTTCTAAGCCGATTTGCTCGTCTTTATATCTGTCCAAAAGGTATGTCATATTCTTGACGATGTAGTACCGGTTTTCTCTTGTGCATACATGGCATATAGATAGAAGCCGTAGAATTTTACTAACACTTTGATATTTGTGTGTTTGGTAGTAAGAAATCTGAAACTTGCAATGAAAATTGGCACATAACAGGTTTCACACTGCTTTCCCTTACTGCCGTTTCAAACCGGAGCTTTTCGCTTTGTCAAACTTACGACCGAGCTTGAGAGAAACTCAAGACCTGTCTCTGGAAGTTTTCCAGAGGGGATAATCGAAGGCGCTAATTACCAAAAAACAATCTATATCAGTTTTTTGTGTTAGACGGTAAGGTTATGATAATCATCCTGAACAAACCAACATCATGGACTTCCATGCAAAAGCAATCCTTCGTGGAAAACTCAGTGATTGCGATTTTTGTGAACAGCGGGTAGATAATCGCCAAAAGCAAAGTTTCCGGCTTTCTTTTCCCGTTAGATTTTCCATATTACTTCTTCTGTCGAACGGTCTCTATCGTAAATCGTTATTTACATCTGCGCCTGCGTATTTACAAATGCACATGTCTACAGCAGGTGCATGTAAAAAACCGAGTTTACAGCAGCCCGATAAACCACCATGCGATTCATCTCAGCGAGCTGAGCCCTCATGTGCTTTCGGTACAAAGGTACCGAAAGCACATGAGGGCTTTCGGTCATTGTCATAAGTGTAGCAAGATTCAAATTGGAGACACCAGCGAAATCTGGGACTTCCGCAAAATCGCGAATCTGCCGAGTTCGGTGAAAATTGATATCTAGTTCGAATTCAGTACACTTGCTGCACGCTATTTTAAGAACATTCTTTACAGCTTTTGATGTATTTTTCTGGAGAGAATCTTGTGGTGAACGCCGTTGGAATTTCTCAAATTTTGAAGCGTTGCCCAGTGATAGAGAGTTGAGTTGCGATAGAGAAGATTGAAATCATATACGGTCAGCTGGCGATATTCTATGCTCCACCGCAGACGCAATTGAAATAGCATGTATTTTCAAATACATTATCGAAAATTTCGCAGTATATTCATCAAACTTCTTGAAAATGCTCTCAAAGATCTTCGTCAGAGTTGAGCTTTACTCCATCCAATGGTTTTTGGTGCTTGTAAAAAGCCGTCTTCACCTTACTTTATTCTTACAAGAGAAGCTTGTTGAGTCGGAGTGGCCTTTTGGACGGGACCTGTACCTCTGAAAAGCATCAGACGATGATTCCAAACCTAATTTCAAGCAAATCAAAAGTTGAAAAAGAGAATTTGGAAGCAAAAGTTAATGCAGAGTTTAGGTGAAATTAATTGTGTCAATTTTTCTAGCGCTCAGGTAAATGATTAAGTCTGAGCATATTAGGTGAATGTATTCATTGCATGTACGGCTCTGATGCTTGACGCTGGACCACTTGAGCAAATTTGGGCGATTTTGCTTTAGTTTTGCGTTCATTTTTTGACCTGAAAAACGTCCATAACTCAGCGTCCAGAGACGCTTGGCAGATGTTGGAGGCAGATTTGGAATCACTGTGCAATACTCGCCGAAGCAGTATGGGTCTCGTCTGAAAAGCCCACTTCGACTGAACACACCTCCTTTGTATTTACATGTGCGCAGTAGCACTATGCTAGGATTTTGTACAGATTTTTAGATCCGTCCGATTGAAGTAGAAAGACACATCAGTTCAGACGTTGTCTTTTCACCTTTGCCCTAAACATCAAGTATCTGTCACAATGAGAATGTGTCATATTTTTTTGAGCTGTTCAGCAGAACAACATAGAGTCCGGCCAGTGGCGTACCCACGATTTCCGCTCGTGGGGGAGGGCCAGATGAAAGTTTTTGAATGAAGGTGCGTGGCGTTAGCCACGCATTCCGAAAAAGTTTTTGGGATGCTTTTTAAAATTGCGGGCCTTTATCTCCGAAATCTCAAAAAAGGGGTCGTTGCGGGAGCCACGCCCCGAAAAGATTTTTTACAAGACTGATTTGAATTTTTGAATTTTTCTTAAATTACCAAATTTTCGCAAGTAAAAACAAGTCGCTTGCTCATTTTTATAACATACCGTTAAGAAATCCATAGAGCGAGTTTTAACCAAAGTTGCGAAACCAAATTTTGCATAACACATGCTCCTAGCATATTGATTGATTACGCAGGGTTTCGTGCGCGTGAGACAAATGCACTTTTTTGTGCTTGAAGAACTGACGTAACCTTTGATTTAACTGGCGTGGCGGCTGGGAGGCGTTGTGACCTAATTCAGACCGCTCGCGCCCGCTGCATCACTCTCGCGCGCGTGCTCTCTGGTCATTATCTAGCCTTAATTAGGTCAAAGCGCCGACTTCTAGCCGCCAAGCCAGTTGAATCAAAGGGTGCTTTTTTTGTTCAACTTTTGAATGCACCTTGAAAGGTATTGCTGTTCTTGAACTTATTACTGAACGCTTGCTTCAACCAACGACAGTGAGCAAATGAACAAACTGCTGACGTTGAATGCTTTTGTCTATATTAGTATGCAATATTGTTATATTTTACAGACATGTGCATATGTCCTTTATGATAAATAGAATACTTTCTTATGTATAAAGTATGAGTATTTGGAGATTACCGAAGCCATTTGATTTTTCTTTGACAGAAGATTGATAGAAAGTCGCAAATATCCTTCAGCAGCTGTCCCAGCTTATACTCAAATGTTTTATTGTAACGTGTAACTATAGAAGAACACGATCGAATAGAAATTTCACCATTTACTTCATCCTTCGAGCATGTCTTCCAGTCCTACCACGCTTATACCTGAGGGTATTGCCAAAAGGGGCGCTTGTCCCAGGAGCTCGTCTCTTCGTCAACTGAACATTTCTAAACTTATACCTTGTAGTTCTGAACGGATTAGAAGTGGCGTTTTTCCCGGAGTTTCTCCTGGTAATCATCCCCGTATTTCTTTCAGAAAGGTTACTTGCACTCATCCTAGAAAGATTTCTCCTAGCAAAATTATTGGTATTCGTTCTTTGCATAATTCCTTCAGATTTCCCTTTACTCGTTCCAATCGGATTGGTGCGGGTGAGACCATTTTTGGCGGCATTCACGGGATTCATCCGCTTGGCAGTTCCTCCATAAGTAGGCCTCCTATTTATCCCAAAAGGATTGGCTCGTGGGGCAATCCCAGCATTCTTGTTAATCCGATTACTTTTCCCGTAAGTAAGCCTCGTGATGGGGCTCGTTCCTGAGCGATGCCTTCCAAAACCTTGCCTTCCCAAAGTACCTCCGGGAATCAGATTGCTGCTCATTCTATTGCTACTCCGTCTTGGAGGATGCTTTGTATTTTCAAAATGATTTCTTCTCCCACTCCCAGAATTCAGATTGCTACTCAGCCCATTGCTACTCCGTCCTGGAATACGCTTTGTATTCGTCCCAAAATGGCTTCTTCTCCCACTCCCGGAATTCAGATTGCTACTCCGTCCTGGGCGATGCTTTGTATTCCCAAAAGCATTTCTCCTCCCACCCCCGAAACTTAGATTGCTACTCATTCTATTGCTACTCCGTCCTGGAATACGCTTTGTATTCGTCCCAAAATGGCTTCTTCTCCCACCCCCAGAATTTAGATTGCTACTCAGCTTATTGCTACTCCGTCCTGGAGGATGCTTTGTATTTGCAAAATGATTTCTTCTCCCACTCCCAGAATTCAGATTGCTACTCATTCTATTGCTACTCCGTCCTGGAATACGCTTTGTATTCGCAAAATGGCTTCTTCTCCCACCCCCAGAATTTAGATTGCTACTCAGCTTATTGCTACTCCGTCCTGGGGTACGCTTTGTATTCGTTGTAAAGAAATTTTTTCTCCCACCCCCGAAACTCAGATTTCTACTCAGTTTATTGCTACCCCATCCTGAGCCATGCTTTGTATTCGTCCTAAAAGTATTTCTTCCCCAAGCTTTTGAATAATTTGAAAACCTATTTTTTTTCGTGGTTCTCCTTCTGTTAGGCCCCTTCTCAAATTTTCTTCTATTGTCATTATACAAACTAACATCTTTTGTGGCGAACTTATTCTTTGTAGCTCTACTATTGCTGCCTCTTCTTGGTGGCATTCCTCCTACTAGGACATCATTTTGTGTTCTTCTCCCAAATGGAGCTGATGTTGATGGTTTCCGCGGCCTTTTTTTTGATAGTCGTGTCTGTGCTTTGCCCGATTTTTTCATTGGTGAACCTCTCTTTGGCGCCATTCCCGTTTGCTTCCTTGATGGAATTATTCCCTTTGATGACATTTTCTTTGACGCCATCCTTGATTGGTTTTCTCCAAACCCTTTCGGGACGGATGGTTTTTGTTTCCATGGTATTTTCTTTCTTTGACTTTCTTTCTTTTGTCGACTTTTTCCCGGTAGTCTTGCTTTTGATAGCTTTCCTGATGGGGGCTTTTTTGGTGTTCTTCTTTTCTGATAAAACCGTTGGTATTCGTTCCGTGGTCTCCTCTTTGACAAACTATGATAAGATGACATTCCTCCTGGCGGCCCTCCTTGCGGTTCTCCTCCCGTTAGCTCTCCTTGCGGTTCTTCTCCCGTTGGTTCTTCTTGTAGTTGCATTTCACCTGATGGCTTTCCTCCGAGAAACCCTCTTAGCTCGGCTATTGGTAGCCTTAATCTGAGTATAACTTCAATAGTTAATGCGGATTTTTCTGGTACTCCTATCCCTGGTGGTTCTTGTTCTGTTGCCTCTCGTCCTTCGAGTTCTCCTTCCGCTGGCTTTTTATCTTGTGGTGGTTCTTCTTCCTGTGGCATTGGTTCTCCTGGTGACCCTCCCTCTGGTGGTTCTCCTGGTGATCCTCCCTCTGGTGGTTCTTCTTCTTGTGGTGGCCCTTCTTCTGGTGATTTGTCTTCCTGTAGCTTTTCTTCTGATGGTCCTTTCCCTGGTGGCTCTCCTGGTGATCCTCCCTCTGGTGGTTCTTCTTCTTGTGGTGGCCCTTCTTCTGGTGATTCTTCTTCCTGTAGCTTTTCTTCTGATGGTCCTTTCCCTGGTGGTTCTCCTGGTGATCCTTCCTCTGGTGGTTCTTCTTCTAGTGGGCCTTGTTCGAATGCTATCTTGAAATATGATTTAGCTGCACTTCTTCTTGCGTACCTGTGAGCGGCTTTTCCTCCTTTTTCTCTTCTACTAATGTCTCTTTTTCTTCTTTCACTTCTGCTACTTATATCTCTTTTTTTCACCTCTTTTAATAACATTTCTTCTTGCAGTTCCCCTAATGCCTCTTCCTCTTGTCTGATTTTTTCTGGTGGAACTTCAAATGTTATATTCCTTGGTGGCATTACTTGTAAAGACGGCATTCCACGCTTGGATGAGTGCCTTTGCGAACCTCGTCCATCTTCAACTGCGGAAAATTTGATTGGGTCTAAATTTATAAAAATATGCAAAACAGCAATCGGAAGACATTAATAGAAGATTAACAGACGATCAGGTGGAAGAATGACTGGAGACACTGGTGGCATCATGGAGTGCCATGCTGTTGTGCAGACGAAGTAGATAAGCAGCGCAAATACGAGCATATCTACCCTGAAATATTGGCACAATAATTTGGGAGTTGGAAGTATGCATGGGTCCGAATCGAATAGAAATTCGATCATTTGAATAAAAAATTTGAGTATATTCGCATTCGAAATCCGATGTTTGGAGTTTTTTCATTTTCAATAAAATTCCAAACTGAACAATTGAGAAAACGGGGTTTCGAATAGATTTAATTCGAAGCTCCGTTTTTGTTTTACTCGAATGTTTCATTTGAATTCGTATCCGAACGAACTGCGTACTCAGAGCATTCGAGTTTGTTGCAGAGCCAACTAATGAGTGTCAAGCTCGCTTTGTCTGCGTTTTTTGTCCGCAAATCTCGGTAATGCATCTTTCTGCAGCCGTGAGGACCTTTTAATTGTAGAAAAATCGCATTCCTCAGACTGCTTGCGACAGTAAAAAAATACATGTAGATTTTAATTGATGCTTTTTCGATCAGTGAGATAGTTGGCACTGCTGTTGGCACCGAATCAGCAGAAAACAGTTATCAATTCAAGCTCATGCTCCGAGTTCACATACTGCAAAGGTGTTGGCAGGCCGGTCCCTCTTCCTTTGCATTGTTCATGCTTGTGGTACGCAAATGTCCATACAAGTAGGTACTCTTGCTTGTAAAACTCATGTTGCACAACTGCATCTATTCTTTACCTTACAGATTTCTCGCGAATTGGTATATTTCGAGAAAAGGACATCGCAGCTGTAATGCAGGATTAAACAGTTGCTGAATTCTGCACTTATGTCACTTGCAATACAATTTCGTTTGATAGATAATGGGAAGTAAAATATGACGTTTTGCTGATGTATAGACTAGTTGCCAACCGACCAACTTCATCGATTTTTGGAAAAAGCTATGGGGCTGGGAGTTGGTACAGGGGTAAGTAAGGGTGCTGATCAAGAAAATCTATTTCATCGATTTTTGGAAAATCTTGAGCTAGGAGTTGGTATAAGGGATATGAGGGTGCTGAGTATGAATGGGTCGGCTTTAGCCGAATTCATCAGCAAGTTTCAGATCTGGTTGTCTTAGTTATTTGATAAATCATTCGAATATTTATTCGAAATTCGACTTCCAATGTTCGAATATAATCGATATTCATTCATTCGATATTTTTGAATTTCCGGTTTCATTCGCAATTCATTCATTCGAGAATTTCTAAATGTTGAATCTATTCGATATTCGTTTATTCGATTTTTTTTATTTCCGAATTTATTCGATGTTCATTCATTTGAGAGAATTCGAATTTACCCAAGTATAGTTGGAAGGAAAGACTTAAGGTTGACTCTATAACTGTAATCAATGAACTCTTATTCTGATTTTGTATACATCAAAATGAAAGAAACGCAAGTTGCTTTTTTTTCAGTATTCAGCATTTTCAAGGTGAAGTTAGTGCAATCTGGGGACGAGTGGCGTAGTGATATGAGGCGCCGCTATGATCAGATCGGACACAGGTTCGATCCCCGCCCCTAAGCCAGCCAAGCCCTCTACCCCCCGGGGCCGGTAAATTGGTACCAGAGCAATCTGGGAGGATAAAAGCACTGACTTGGAAACGGCTGGCCCCGCAAGTCACTGTAATAAGCTCGCACGCATTCAAATGCCTCTTCGACTATAAAGTTAGTGTGTGCGTTCCGCGCATGCCCTCAGAGGGTACTGAAGACGCCGAATCCTTTATCCTTTATCCTTCAGTGCAATCTTAGTAATGAGAAACTTTGCCACCGATTTCCATACTTTTGAAACTGTTAATCTGGTGCCAAGATAACTAATTAGCGCTTTCTGGGCAGCCGACGTGTAAATAAAAAATGCGTGAAGTATCAAGAGAAATTATTCAAGCGAAAACCCGCAAAATTCCGATGCGATCATCATATATCAGGTTGGCTCGAAAATTCTCGGACATTTTCAGACTAGATCTGCTATCTCGAAATCTAACGCACGTACGTCTGATAGAGATATCATTCGATAGGGCAAAGTAAGCTCTACAAGATAATATACAAAAGTTCGCACCAGCTCGGACAAAACGTAAGTTTGCATCCAGAATCTGGAGGCTCGAAAAATCGGGAAATTCATATTTTCGTTCAAAAAAATCCTACGGATCTCCAACTTGTTCACTCAGATTACACGCCACATCAAACACTTATATACCGTTGCTGTATTTCTTCCTCATCTAGAAATCGAAACAACTAAAATTTTCATGCTTATATAAAAACAAAGCTGTGCTGTTTTCACCCACGTAATTGTATAGTGCAAGCCCTTAGAAGTGTAACCGTAAATTTCTAGCTTTCCGCATACTCTAGTTTTCAAAAAACATTGATTTTAGCATGGAACACCCGAGTGAGGAGAGCTTAATTCAATAATTTTTGGAAACTAGGGCCTGTAGAAAGCGAAAATTTACGGTCACACTTTTAAGGGCTTGTGCTGTACAATTACGTGGATGGAAACACAGCACAGCTTCATTTTTATATAGACATAAAAATGTTTTCTCCATTCTAGAGGAGAAAAAAAAATACAGGAACGGTACGTATGAGTGATCGATGTGGTGTACAATTTGTGCAAGCATGTTGGGGATTCGTAGGATTTTTTAACAAAGATATGAATTTTTCCCAGTCTTTCGAGCTTTCAGTACGATTCAGATTCTGAATGAAAACTTACGTTTGGCCCGAGCTGGTGCGAACTTTTGCATACCAACTTGCTTTGCCCTATCGAATGGTCTCTATCGAACGTAAATGCAATAGATTTCGAGTAGCAGATTCAGTCTGAAAATGTTCGAGAACTTCGCGCCAGCCTTATACCAAACTCGTAGTGAAATACAGTAGATTTCCTGCATAATACAGGGTGTCCCAAAAGTAAGTACACACTTTTCAATCGTTAATATCTTCCTTCCCATTGTGTCTTTTTCCGCCAGCTAAGTATATTTCTAAAGAGGAGGCTTCAACTTAGATTCAGAGTATCGAGCGAATCACCGATTGCTCTTCATTACTGTAGGATTACTGTAGGAACTTCGAAAAGGATTTTAAGCCATTCGAAGTCATATTTTGCCTCGGAACAAAACCAGACAAGCCAAAAACTTTCATACTATGGTGGTGGAAGCCGCTAATTTCGAATATGAAATTTCCACTTTACTGTGATGCTTCTTTCCAAAGTTATCACATGTAAGCCATGATAACCGAATTCCCGGTATTTGTCAGAAATGTGATTACAGCGTCAAAAAAGCTGAAAACACTCGTAAAAAGTTGTGTAGTGGAATCAGTGGGCGCGAAAATCCTAGTACACGATCTTTCAGATATTTTGAAGATAAATTTGTCAGATAGCATATTTCACGATGGTTCCACATGCTGGAAGTTCTTACCGTAATCCTACAGCAACGAAGAGCGATCGGTGATTCGCTCGATACCTTAAATCTAAGTTGAAGTCTCCTCTACGGAATGGTGTTTGACTCACAAAAAAAAACATTGGGAAGAGAGATATTGACGATTGAAAAGTGTGTACTTACTTTTGGGACACCCTGTACAGCCGACGTGTAAATGAAAAAGTATTCAGCAATTTCAAGTAAAGTTAGTGCAATCTTAATGCTGCCCTGCAGAGCGACAACGGTTGTGCGTCGAAATACCGTTGCGAGTTTCCGCGCGACTTTCTAGTATTTTCTTTCCTTATTCTTTACTTTTAAGTAGCTGGTTGCTGATGAAGGAGAAAAAGACAAGTTGAAAAGTATTTTCTGTTTTCTGATGATTGTATTAGCGCTTATTCTCTAGTAATCTACGTGGAAGTCAGGTCGCGTCAGCGTGTGCATCCTCTGTCATTTCTGCTTGTTTCCTTTTGTGAAGTATTTCTTCAAACCCTATGAGCTGTGCAGCAACTTTGGCTTCCTTTCAGAGAAAGATAGCATCTTATCGTCTAGTTCGTGTGATAAAGACGATAAGTTATATGTAAAAGCCTACTAGCTTTTAAAGAAATGCTTCACAAGAAGGAAGAGGCAACAGGTGACAAAAGTATACACATCAAACTGACGCGAAGAGGGATAAAGAGCCAAAAATACATATAAAACTGACGAATACTTTCACTTAGATACTGAGAATAAGCAATGAATTAACAAGGAAAACACCACAGAACACTACTGAAATTCGTAACGGCTTTATCGACGCACAACCGTTGTCGCGTCTGCAGTGACACAATATTGAGCAGAAAATCTACTCGACTGTACATCAATGCAACTGCTGAAGTTGAGCTAAAAGTACGGAAATGCTGCTCCGAGTTTATTGTTCGTGCTAAATACGACACCGATGACTGGGACACACAGGACAAACATACTACGGTTTTCACTTCTAAGCTTTGTGAAGCGCATTTGTTCATGCGAAACTAGCGCACGATTGTGTTTTTCACTTTCGGGCATCAGTATCTCTCAATTCACAGACATAAAATATAGTGAGTGCTTGGGTGTGTTTACTTGACCAAGAAGGAGGTTTGTATTTTTCTAGGCTTATTTTCAATTTTTGAATCACTCAGAGTTCCAAGTTCTTTATTCAAATTGCATACATTATAATGTATTATTCCTGGATATCTAGTCATGTTGTAAATGTTAGTTTGTCCTATTGAAGAATGTCCGTAAGCCTTTTTACATTCATACTGCGGTTACAGCAAAAAAAGACGCTCATTTTTGCACCTTACAAGAGTGTTTCAAAACAGTATATAGAACGTACGATCTTTAAAAGCTTTTTTGTAAAGAAGCTAGCTGTCTTTTTTCAAACGCCTTTTGTAGAGCCGCTTCATTAGATTTGCAGTAAAGAACGAACCATCTTCGCTCTTCATCACTGTAAGATTACGATTGGAATTCTGAACAAAGTTTGCAGCTATATAGGACGCTATTTCTTCTCAGAAAGTAACTAAGCGACGTGAAAACTTTTACACTAGGTTAATCAAAGCCGATGATACTAAGTGATTCATGGTTTTCTGCATTGCTCTCAAAAGTATTACCATTTGAACCACGATAGCTGTTTAGAGCTTTGTA